CCCAATCCTGCACAAAGTTTAAAGGTGCATCCCTTTTTCCAGAAAAAATATCCCGCCACGCGATGTATTTCAATGCATTTACAGTTATGTCGCGAAATGCTTTGAAATACATATTTTCGCTACATGAATAACCCCATTAGATAATGAATCGTTGGTGGTACGACGGGAAATTTTTAATTTTCCCGCTAATAACATGAGCCATTTTAATCTTTTAATCTGGACAAAACTCAAACTTAAATTACTTATAAGAAGTATAGATAACCTGATCTATTTTTATTCAGCTGGAAGTTTTTATTCTGAAATAGCGCAAAAAAGATAGAAAGAGGTGTAAACGAAAATAGAGATTAGGCACTACATTTTCTTTACCACCGGACAGCTATTATCAATCAAAAATAGATTTCGCTAAGAAGAACCTAGATGAGAGAAAATACATATTTCGTGCATGATTCTCATCAAAACAAAAAAAGTGTTGGAAGATTAAAATTCTTTAAGAGGCGGGGAAAAGTCTAAATCTGGATTTTCAGATATTTCGTCGAAAATATGAAAGACATGAAAAAGAGTCAAAAACCAAATAAAAAACGGAAATGAGAATGGGGGGATTAGGGTAGTACTCCCCCTCAATTTTCAAAATGTCACATCATTTTTTGAACTGAAGTCAAATTGTATTTTGCTTTTGCACTTTTGCGCTCTTTGATTCCGAAAACTTGGAAGTATTTATCACTGACTGATGAGTCCTCTTTCATGTATGCAAATCTACTTCCATCTACTTCCACAGCCCGTGGAGTGAATAAAAAAATCAAGCAAATTTAAGAGAATAACTGATGTGAAGGCAATGGATGATAAAAAAGAACCCAACGGAAATAACTAGACACAAATCGCAAGATTGGTGCTATTACGGACAAGAAAGATAGATTGCCTCATAAAACCGAATGTGTCTAGAACCTATATATCACCGTTTTAGTGTATGTATAGACAATTGTGCTTGCGGGGAACAGCTTATCTTACTTAATTCGACATTAAAAGTTTTACCTGTTTCTCAATTGACAAAACACACTTGAGGAGACAATTTATGATTTTAAAAAAAAATCAAAGAATCTAGTTTAAAATGGAATATCATTGGAAAAATGCAAATACTCTGATTCTTCATTCATACAATCCTTCGAATTTGTCTTCAAATGTAGTTTAAACGTAACAAAATTGTGAAATGTTCTGAATCGTGCGAAGAATCAACTCATAGGATTAATTATTTCTGATCATATTCTCAGACTTGTATACTACGCTTCAAAAAAGTCTTAAAAATTGTGCCATTTTCAGGCATTTTGAGTTTTTGGTCAACCTTGGAGTGATGGTGTTTCTAAGCTCTGCCACATGTAGACAAAAAGTTTTTTTTGCAATTTCTATGACTTTCAAAACTCAACGGAGAACAACTCGATAGCCAGGATTTTCTGGAGTACGGTGAAATCTAAAAATACATTTTGAATTAATGTAAATTCTGTACGGGACATCTCTCAAAAATAGAATTTTCGAAAACCCACCAAAGTCTGAAAAATAGACTAGATTCAGTTGTTTTATCAAAACAGGGCTGTAGATATGACAATGATTGAGAAAATGGTTTCAGCAGTTCTAGGCTGGATAAAGTCATTGAGTAATTTGTAAAAATCGCTGAAACTTTTGCACCAACTTGATTCAGTTACGAACTTGAGCATTATTTTGAAAATTAGCGAATAAGAGAAAACAAACAATCAATTCGAAAAATTCCAATTTTTAACAGCCGTAATGTAAAACATGAATTTTTTTCTTTTTAAAGATTTACTTCGAAAATCAAAAAAATTATGATTGAAACTATTTCTGAAAGAATGAAAACCATCTTTGACATTCCGAAAACCCACCAAAGTCTGAAAAATAGACTAGATTCAGTTGTTTTATCAAAACAGGGCTGTAGATATGACAATGATTGAGAAAATGGTTTCAGCAGTTCTAGGCTGGATAAAGTCATTGAGTAATTTGTAAAAATCGCTGAAACTTTTGCACCAACTTGATTCAGTTACGAACTTGAGCATTATTTTGAAAATTAGCGAATAAGAGAAAACAAACAATCAATTCGAAAAATTCCAATTTTTAACAGCCGTAATGTAAAACATGAATTTTTTTCTTTTTAAAGATTTACTTCGAAAATCAAAAAAATTATGATTGAAACTATTTCTGAAAGAATGAAAATTCTATATACCGCAACTGACTTGTAGGCCGAAATGAGAGTCAGGCTCAGGTTTTTCAAAAATGTTTTCAAGAAGAAATTTAAGATCTTAGGTAGTCCTATAGATAAGAGTATTCTTACAAAACAGAGAAAAACTTTGCGTTTCAATGTTTATAGCTCAAGAAAGGTCGTTTGCGTAACTTTAGATTTCTGCAGGCACAGGAAATGGAGGTGCCGATAAGCTAAAAAATGTTAGATAGTTTTCGAAAAACCAATTTGCAGAGAATTCTGAATAATCAGCGTATGCACTAGATCTGATGAATTGTACCATTACACTTTATGTTTCAAAAAATATGCATTCTCGTTCATTCTTCCCCATCTTCTCTCGAACAACACGCCATACGGGTCAACACTTGCAAATGACATGTTGTGCTGCAGTCCACGTATTACGTAAACACGAATTCTTTCTCTTGAAACCTGCGTCTCTTCAAAAAAACACATCAAAACCATCTCATGGTCATATCAACGCAATCTTATCAACCTTATCGTCATTCCATCTTTGACCCTCCACATCTTCTCTTTCCGATTTGTTTGTTTGTCCATTTTATTTTTTCGTTGACTTTTTACTGATTTTTACAGAGATGTCGTCGGAACAGAAACCAATTCTCTATTCCTACTGGAGATCTTCCTGCTCATGGAGAGTCAGAACTGGTAGCTTTTGTGATATAGACTAACACTCTCTAAATATTAATTTTCAGCTTTGGCCCTCAAAAATATTGACTACGAGTATAAGACTGTTGACTTATTGTCCGAGGAAGCAAAGGTAACTAGGAAACAACGTTTTATTATTTACAGTATTTTCCAGAACCAATTGAAAACTATCAACCCTGCTGGCAAGGTTCCAGCTTACGTCGTTAACGGGCAAGTCATCAGTGAGAGTTTGGCTATCATTGAATATTTGGATGAAACCCATCCAGATGTTCCACTTCTTCCAAAGGATCCAGTGAAGAGAGCTCACGCTAGAGCTATTGCTTTTTTGGTTAGTTAGATCTTCAATTTACTGTGAACACTCTAATAGAAGGCCACGCTACACGTGCATTTCAAGCTCAATTATCTCTATTTCTATGAAAGATGATAAAAATTTGTCAAATAATGAAATGTCGCTGATGTCGTGAGAAACATTTCATCAGTAGACAAATTTGTGATATCTCTTACAGATATCAAGATAATTTAGCTCAAAATGCAAATATAGAGTGACCGTCTTTTCAAAATTTTACAGTATTTTAGCAAATTTGTTAATTTCCAGGTGACCTCCGGAATCCAGCCCCTTCACAATTTGAAAGTCCTCCAGCTTTTGAACAAGAAAGAAGCCGGATTCGGTGGACAGGTAACAGTGACATTCTTCCTTAAATAAATAGCTCTGAAAATCTGCAGTTTGCCAAACAATTCATCGTCGAAGGTCTGACCGCTCTGGAGGTTCTCCTGAAGGAACATTCTGGAAAGTACGCCATCGGTGAAACTGTAACCATTGCTGACCTTGCCATCCCCCCACTCATCTACTCAGCTAACAGGTGAGGAATCCGGCAGGAAAACTTGAGGAACAGTATTCGGAAGAAATTTCAAATTGAAAATACCAGTTGAATCATCCTAACGGTCATGACATGAGATGAAAACAACCACTTGTAGCAACTTTCTATCGGATTCTTTCAAATCAAAAACGCATTAGTCATCTAGGCAAACATGAATTGCAAAGATGAAAAAAGAGTAGGAGGAGGAGGTGAAGACGCAATATCGGATCAAAAGAGAGGGAAACGAAACAAAAACGTGATAAACATCAGAATAACCCTTTCTCGCTGTCATTCCGATCTTAATCAACAATGGTTTCCAGATTCAACCTCGATTTGTCTGCCTACCCAACTGTCAATCGTATCAATGAGACTCTCGCCGAGATTCCCGCTTTTATTGCCGCTCATCCTGATAACCAACCCGACACCGGATTGAATGCCTAAACAGTTCTCTTTTTTGGGTTACTGTTGCCTTCGTAAACAGTAATGTGTTGGAAAATTATCATTCTGATTATTTGTTCATAAATTATTAAAACATATGAACAGCAAAGATGTATTGTCTTTTGGTATTTATTATCTTTAACTTTTCCGTGGTGCAAAGCAAAAGTTTTTTTCTCAAAAAAGAAGAAAACTCCCCTGAGATTAAAAGCTTGAAAAGACATCAAATCGTTGCGTCATGCAGAACTTTTTCCGTGAAAAAGGAGAAAATAGAATTCGTTTTCTTCTGGCAACAGTGGTTGACACCGACATAGTACTAGTTGGTTGCCACCCACAAAACAAGCGGCCTTTCGATTCTTCAGAGTATCCGTTTTTTTCGTTCTCTCCCTCATTTTCCTCTTCTCGTCCACTTTTTTTTTCCCGCCAGTGCGGTCTGCAGAAAAAAGTTTGAAACCAACCAACAACTCTTTCTTTTTTCTCATTTCTTCCTATCGGTTGCTCTTTATCTTTGTTCTGCTCTTTTTTCTTGCTTCTCCATGCTCTGTCGTGGTCACTTGCAAATATTATAGACGGAATAGAATGACGAATTGAAGATGTAATGTGTGGCGTTTTGACAACTTGACAAGTTTATAATGTGTACTGCTGTTGTCAAGGTTATTCAGCTGCGTTGACTGACAGAAAGCAAAATGTCAAAATGTTGGGGAAAAATTGACGTTTTGTTTTATTCAGAGATCTTTTAGTTTTTTTTTGTATTTTTAGTTTACAAACTTGTTTTAAAAAGAGGTCTATAAAAGTGTCGCTTATTTTCAATTTAATCTATTTTTGATATTTAAAATCGTCTAGGTTAAATTATTTAAATCATTATGTGGCAGAGAAAACTTTGAAAACAGAAACTTTGAAACCCATTTCAAAACTAAATTTCTGTAATACCAATCGAAGGTATTTTTGATTTCTGTATATTCAACTTTTTTCAGTTATTTTACGATTTTTTCACGTAATAGAAGATCATTTTTTATTAACCAAAAAAAGATAGTTTTAATAAAATTAAGGAATTAAATTATTCAAAGTTTTCAAGGCTCGCTATCCTGTGATTTATTTTAATTTGCTCATTTTTTTAATATGAATATATATAATCATTTTTGTATCCAACTTCTCTGAACTTTCCTCACTTTTCCAAATCTCTCTCACTTTCCATTCTCCTCGAAAATGCGATTTGACAGAAGAGACAGGTCATCTCTGCCATTATGGACAAACATAGACGTACATATGATGAGTCATGTTGAGTGCGCGATACTTTTCCAATTTTTCCTTCGAATTCTTGGACAGTACCAATCGTTTTTCATGCGGTGCTTGAACTAGGAATGACGTGCAGACTGTTTTTGATTTTTGCAAACATGGAAAAAATAATAACTTCCCATTTTTCATTCTGTGTTAGATCCTGTTTCAGTTGTTGATATATAATTTTCAGTCATAAATGAAGCTGTTTTCCATACTTGTAGAATGGTGTGCCGGCCTGTCAGATCAAAATTTAAAAAGCACCAGAACGCTGTTCGTAAAGACTGGTTTTTTCGAAAATTTTGTGTTTTACCCTCTTTTTAAATCATTTTACCTTCTTTTTATATCTATAATAAAAAATGTCCCAATTTCTCTTATAAATTTTGATTAGAAAATTTCAAAGTTCATTTCTCAGACCGGCCCGACATTTTGTAAATACGTTTTTTTTTCATCCGCACTTGTTTTATCGCACTTCCCAAAAAAGCAATTTCTCCAAAAAGTACGTTTTTCCATTAGTTCTGGAGCACGTTTCCCATTCAGGTGTCCGAGTTTCTCAACCCATCTTAGCTTCACCTCGTTTTTCCTCACTTCTTTTCTTAAGTGACTGTTTGAACAAACACAACCGATTCCCGTCCGTCTCCGCCTGCGCAGTCAATCTAATAAGCCCTAGCCATCAGAGACCTACCGATTTCTCATAGACGGAGGCGAACGGAGAAGGTGAGACAAGGGTACAGGTCAACCAAGGCTATGTCCACACTTTCTCGAATGTTTTTGTATTTGGACATTGTGGTGAAGACTGCTGATTGAATTTTTTTTTTCGATTTTAATTTTGGTTTTATTGAATTTTATAGCTTTTCCATCTATTATTTCACTTTTTCGAAAATCTTTTATTTCATTGGAAACCTAAAAAGTGAGAATTTTGAGCGAGTGTTAGAGAAATGTTGATTCTTAGAATTGGAACTCTGAAATCAATCTTCCGGTTTTACCCATTTTTCAGGAATGTTTTAAAAAATTTTCAAGAAAATATTTTAACGTGTTTTTTGTTGAGATCGATTGATGCTTAAATTAAAAAACGAATTCATTCAAAAAAAAGGGGAAATTCTAAAAAATCTATGATCTGTTTCTCACCCGCTTCTTCCCAAAAAGTGAGAATCATTTACACTATGTTTACCCCTACTCTCTTCTTTATTGAATTTTCCATGCTGGAGAATGACCAAAAGAAAAAAAAACAGAAGAATAACGTCTTCAGAACCAATTTGTTTCATTATACCCTTTCCTTTCTTTTTTTACTCAACAAGCTCTGTTACGCAGCACTCATTTCCTCCCATTCTCGCACTTTGTATTTCTAGGTCATCGCTTGCAAACATTTTTCACATTTTTAACATTCTCTAGAACTTCCTACACGATCACATGCTTGTTGGAATAAACACGAAAATCGGATTGAATTCCTCATTATCAGGGCGTTTCAAATTATGTACCACCCACCCCGCATTTGGTGTTCAATAATTAAATCAAATTGTGGGGAGACGCAAGGCGGTGGTTATTTTTTTCTCTAAATCTCTAAAGTGTTCATTCTATTTCAGTTCTCGTCTTGCCCTTCTTTTGATTAAAACATTTCAATCATTCAGTTTGGTTTGCACTGGTTTTTCCTTTTTCTCCTACTTGTCGTGCTTTTCAATTTCTTATCAGTTCATTTCATTTTTCTCGCTCTTCATATTTCGTAAAAAAACTACTAGCCATTTCTCATTTTTGATTTACACGCTTCCAGATTTCTCTAACAATGCCACAATTGTCCAGATGTCTCCTATTGCTAATTCTTGTTGGTTTTCTCACTGCTGCACAGTTTTCTCGAAGAAATAGTGAGTATTGTTTGCTTAGAACTGAGAAAAAGATGAAAGAGGAGCCGCAGAACCGTACATCCCAAGTAAACGATCAAGTTGCGAAATTAGCAAAACAATCTATCACCCGGGGTTTGACAAAATGATACACTGTGTATACTTACATTAGCTCATGTTTCGCAACTTCTTAGCAAAAATACCGTTCTTGATCGTACCAGGCTCTCGAAAAAAGGTCGAAAAGTTTCGAAAAACTGGTTTCCAACAAAATAAAATGGAATCAGGGGAATTAGGGAAAGGATAGAATAGAAAGTAGCGAAAGAAAATGCTAGTTTGGAAAAGTTGGACTGGAGGGAGTTTCGTATTAAAACATATGTACAGGTTCATCCATAATTATTAGAATACTTTTTTGCTCAACATCTAGTTTAAACATTCAATAAACTATTTGGAAAAAATCTCAAACGTAGAATCCATAGGCAATTTTCCTTATTTCAGGTGGTCTTGTAAGATGTCACAAAGAAATCGGAAGTTCTGTCAGTTCTTGCGAAGGCAAGTATTGCTACAAAATGCACACACCAGGTATCAAACCCTATGATGAGCCTTTGAATAATCTCTAATTCAGTTTCAGACGACTCAACTCGAGATGGAATTGTGAAAAAAGGATGCATGAATGCTGCTGATGCTCAGACAGAAGTAAGTTTCAATTTTTGTTAATGGTTTTAATTACATATTAAACACAGTTATTTTCAGGTCGGAAAATGTACGAGACGGCCTTTGGAAGAGGGTGGAGCTGAATTAATGTGTGTATGCAACGAAAGGGATTTCTGTAATTCGTCCACTATTCCCTCAACATTTCTCATTGTTCTTATTAGTAGCTGTTTCTTCCTTATTTTCCTTCTCTAATTTCCCACTTCCTTAGAAACATTGTGTTTTTGTCATTTTCGTTCATCGATCTTCTAATTGTTACCATAGCTTTTTGTACTAGTTTTGATTTGAAACAGGCGTCCTTTGCAACGGGTTAGATACACTGAAAGTTTTCACACAAACTAGCTGCTAATTTATTCTTTATTCATATTTTTACTGCTTATTGCTCACTTTTCCCAACTCATACTGTGATTCTGATGGATTGAATAAACTATTGATTGCGATTTGAGTTGTTGGCCATATTTTTTTCAGAATCAGAGATCTTCCGATTTTCTAAAAAAACTTTGTTCAGTAAAATTACAGTTGGATCAGGGATGTGCGTAAAATATTTATTTTACGATTTTCGTGAAACGTAAAATTTTACAAATTACAAGCTCGTAAAATCGTAAAATTCGTAAAATCCGTAAAAAAACTGAATCTTCAATTAAAATGGAAACAAAAATTGCAGTTTTATTATTAAGCAATTGGCAAATGGTCAGCAAATGTTGAAAATCGTAGAACCGAATGCTTCTATGGGGTTTCAACAATTTTCTAATTTTTTTTCCTTAAAAAATGCTAAATTGTGATAAAAAGCATTCAAATTTGGAAAAAATATTTAGAAAATAAAGCAATTCATGCTTAAAATCAGATGTGAGCATAAAATTAACTCAAAACTAGATCAAGAACATGAAAATGAACCGGAATACTGCCAATTCTGAACAAAAATGGTGCAAAAACACTCATCCAGTTTTTACGAATTTTACGGATTTAGTTTTACGACACTCGTAAAATTTTACAAGTCCAAAAAACCTCAAAATCCGTAAAATTCGTAAAATTCGTAAACGTAAAATCACATCCCTGAGTTGGATATCTGATGGTAACCTTTGCCGCATGGACCACAAGTGGAGGATTTTCGTGGGAATAAATTATCCAAGAGAAGTTTTGTGGGATGTGTCCTAGAAACGTTGGTTTTCCTTTTCTTTTTATATTACTTTGCTACCGGGAATCGTGGTTTTGCTGTCTTCCAAAATTACAGTAAGAGATGCTCTATTTTTTGGAATTTGTTCTTATCAATTTTGAAATTTTCGAATTTTCTCAAAAAATAAGGACAGCGCAAACTCAACATTTGAGGACAAATATGAATTGTGTTTTTGAAAAATACTTTTCGTAGTGATAATATATTTAGAACTTTTGAATTTATCGAGTTTTAATTTTTTGTGAACCATTTTTTATTGGACTAAAACTGGCTGAAACATACTGATTGATAATCCAATGTGAATTCTTACACGGCGACTTTTCTTCTAACGATCTAACTAAAAGCTTCGATATCAATAAAATTGAAGAAAATAACTTTCTGCACAATGTTGTTTTCAATTATTTTTCAACTTTTTTTCTTTTTTTCGTTTTTTTTTCGGAAAACTTTGACTAGTATTTTCAAGTAAAGAAATTAAAGTTGACATTAAATTACAAAAATAGAAAAATGATCAATAGAAATCAAGGTTCAAAGCGAATAAATCTTACATTTTTGAAGTAATTTTTGTAACGGATTTCTAGTTTTCAGTAACTTCTTGATAGTTTTAACTTGAATGATACAGTTCTTAACATCTAAAGTACAGTTCTAAAAATCTGAAAACTCACAGCATTCCGGGCTGGGTAGGGGCACCCGAAGGCGTGTGGAATGAGGCATCCATCGACGATGACTCGAGTGTTACAAGAACACATACCCTGAAAATTAAAAAAAAAACCATTGTTACTTTGTTTATGAACCTCATTTTGGTTGTGAAACATAAATGGAAAAAAAAACTCACAGTGAAGATGATGACGACTGGCGAATTGCAAGTGGTGACTTCCCCGTTCGAGCCGCGAAAAATAAGGGTTGCTTTAGGAAAAATATTTAAAAAAATAATTTTTAAAAAAAATTTATTAAAATATTTAGGAAAAATTTTATGGAAAAGGAAAAATTATGGTGTTTTTTTTTGTAATAAACAGTTGAATATGATAGATTTCCACCGTGGAAAAGTTTAAAAATAACGAGCGCATAAAATCGATAAACAAAAAAAAGAACCTTGTTGTGCGGCGTTGACCAGCGCAAGGACGGTTTGGCCCCTCCTCCTCTCGGACTACACGAATAGAGAGCGCATATGTTGTTGTTTTCTCGGCCGCGCTCTTATTCTCACGCCTAGTTGTTTTTGTGGTCAGGATGACCTAGAGACGAAGAAAAAAACGGAGAGGCAGAACCTGCCAAATGTTAGAATTTTGTGTAAGGATAGTAGTAATAAACACTTTTTCGATATAAGTTTGTAGTTTATCGTAAATTACGTATCGAAGCATTGTTTTTCTATTTCTCAAACTTTTCGAAAAATGTGATCATATTATTAACCTTTTTGAACAGCATTTTATTAATGATAACTCTTCAGAAAACATGTGGTGATAGAAAATTGAAAGTAAAATCCCTTGATTCCGACAGAACTGTGAACACGATACGTTGTCTCTGTGATAATCCTGCTTTAGGTTTGTTTGGGCATTACGGTTTATAGAACTTTTTCTTCGAAATATTTGTTTCTGGGTGAAAAAAATTCACAAGACATCTTACTGAGACTATAATTTTTTGTTCAGCGATTTTGGATTTGACCTAAATAAGTTTTTGTTAAAATAAATATTAAAATCCGGAAGTGGAACAATCCTGTTTTTTTCGTTGAAGTTTCACGTTACTTACACAGTTTTAAAAAATGAGTGACATGAAAATCTGAGAACAGTATGCAATTCTTCGATTAATTTCAGTGCTGTCAAAAACTCAAAAGAATTGTTCGCCGAAAGGATTCAAAATTAAATTCGTCGACGTTAGTCAATAACTGTTCAAATGCGTCAGAAAGGTCGAATGATGATTTTTACAGAAGAAATAATCTATTTTGAGAGTTTAGGTTTATCAAAACTTCATCATATCGCCTCTGCATTATTAGACGTGCCAGTGATTTTTCTGAGTAATTTTTCTTAAAACTTATATTTGGATCAAGATTGCTCATGATAGAATGAGGTGAAAAATTCAGTGAGAATCATACTTGTAAAATTCCGGGCCGGCCTGTCAAAGTCCGGGCCCGGGCCTGAGGAAAATTTCAAGGCCCGGGCCCGGCCCGGAAGGCCCAGTAGCACAAATTTTTGTCATTTTGAACCGAATTTTGAACTCTCAATACAATTTTCTATATTTTTCTTTGTGCTTTTCGATTGTTTGTCTGTTTGATCAAAAAATATCAAAAAAAAACTCGAAAAAATTTTTACACATAAGGCCCCCCCCCCTTGTGTTCTTTGCAGGGCTGTCCAAAACGGCGGCCGGGCCTCGGCCGGCCTCGAAAAAGCCTCGACCGAAGAAAAGAAAGCCTCAGCGCGCTCCATTGAGAAAAAGCCTCGCGAGGCCTCGGCCGGCCGAGGCCGGCCTCGCAAATGTGACTACGGTCAGCAAGTCGCATATTTTACGACAAGTTGCGTTTTTTTTTAAATTTTTTGTTTTTTCTCGCTCTTTTTCAGCAAATCACGCATTTTTCGAGAGTTTTCTCGATTTTTCCATCGATCTGTGGCGACATGAACATTTCGAACGCCAGTGATGGTCGGTTTAAGCCGATTTATTCATTTGTTATAACCGTTATTCAATTTCAGACACAATTCAGATGCCTCAATGGTTCATTGATCCCACACCAAATCGTCAGAGCCTGGACTTAAAAATGCTGGAAAAGTTGATGATTCTCAAAGAAAAAGATCGATTCGACACAGGCGAGACTTGAAGATTTTGATGCATGAACACAAGCTTTTTTTGTTAATTTTCTTGAATTTGTTGTCATTTTCTCTCCCCTGTATCTCAGTGT